GGCCCCGGAGCGGGGCTATCCTCCCTCCCACGGAGCCCAGCGAGTACTTAGCTTGAGGTGGGGTCCTGGCTGACCTCTTGCGCTTGGGAGGCTGCAGCGCATTTTCCTCGCCTTCTGCGTCCTTATTGGAGCCTTTGGCAAGGAACTTCTGTGGCGCCTTTCTCTCAGCTCCTTCCCGAGCAAGCGTGTTATCAGCACGGCTGAGCTGCAGGTAAACTCTGATACGCGTGTGTAAAATAGCTCCTTTAGTTTGGAAATACAGGTCAGCATCAGTAGTCTTGAGTAGGAAGCTGCAATAGTTAAGAGGTTGTGTCCAGATTCCCATCTTCTGCGACTACCCCTCAAGTAATAAAAACTAACTGTTCTTTTTTTTTTTTTTCCTTTCAAATTCTTTATAGAGAGGTGAAGCAATCATTATTTTTGCTCTTCTTTATAATGGTTACCTAGAGGCTTGATGAGAATGGAGATTAAGCTGGATGTTCTCATCTCTACATGTATCAAGCAAAGAAAACCATGGCCTCGTATCTCATGGATTGGCCAGGTAGGCATTATAAAATTTTATTTAAATAAAATTCTGAAAAGAATGTTTTTTTTAATTAGGTAACATTTTCCATTTCCGTTTGGAGGGAGGGAGAGTAAAAAAAGCCTCAGGATGTGATTTGAATTTACCTCTCATAAGAGTAATTGAAATAAATGGCTTGATTTTCTGTTATATGAGCCTAAGACTGGAGACTAAAAATTTCTCAGATGAATAATGGGGAGTCATCTTTTTGTTTAAAAAAATAAATAAATAAGTTGTTCCTTATATGAGATTGTTGTTTTAATAATTCCGGTTTTTCATAACCGTTTTTACAGTACATTGTTGAAAATCACAAACAAGTTGTTTTTTTCCCATTCCATGCTGCAACGGTTTAAAGACATGCTTTCTTTATATTTTTTGATAAAATTAGACCTTTTTTTAAAATTTATTCAATACTTGATTTGTGCTAAAGTCAGTTACCATTTCAGGTCAGTTCCTCCTTCTATTGAAATCACTGGCAAAAATCTCGCTCCGTTAAACACTACACGATGAGATAATTAGTGCCTAATTTGTTTTTCAGTTGCCATTTGTTGGCATGTAGTTCAGTTAAGGTATTTCAAGGAACTTTATTAATAATGGCTAAAATTTGTTTGTGAGTTTGAAACCTGTGGACCAAATTCATCATCAGTGTAGGCTGATGCTAGATAAGATGTGCTGTAAAGCAAATATGCCAAAGAGTGAAGTCAGTGCTGGAATTGCAGCTGTAATGTGGTTTGGGTTTTTTGAAAATTATGTTTCCCTAACATTTTTATCACTACATTATTTTGCAGGCTTATGTAGAAAGTAACGTTTTTTAAAATTAAATGCTCCTTTTTCTTTCAACAGGAAAAAGAGGCTCTTTTTCTTCTAGATGATAAACATATAAATGAAATTAACCTGGCATCAGGGAAGACGAAGAAAATACCTCGGCTGCAGTCATTGCTGAAAAATGTAGTTGTTTTAACAACATCAAGAAATGGTTAAGTACAACATCATGTGTGTCACAAACTCATATCTTTTTATGTGTAGTTGTAACAGTTTAGAAAGATAGAGTATCTGAAGGATCTACCAGTTCACTGTCAGCTTTAGAACTGTGATTAGGATGTAGGGTAAGTAATTTTCAATCCTTCACAATACTCTTCTTCCAAACCTCTCTCCCCAATAAACACAGGTGCTTGGTTGGCAGGAATACTTAAAACAGGAGGGCTGTTTCTGTGGAGTAAAGATCAGGACTGCTTGAAAATTGTGCCAGCAATTGAAGAGTCTAGGAAAGTAGTTGAAGCAGCACAAGGTAAAAAAATACTTCTGAAAAAGAATAGAGGTGAAAGTGGTTTCCCTTTTGTTAACTGTTAAATAAACAAATAAAGGCTACATTGTTACATTGTTTTGTATTTGTGTAAGTTTGTGTCCTGGCTAAGCTTTGACAAATGTTCCTTTTGTCACCTGAATTATACAGGTTTTTGTATTTAGTAATCTCCTGTAAATAGTCATTAATTTTTAAAAACAATATTTTAATTTTTTTAGTGGTTAGTTTTTTAGTTGCTGAAAAACATTCCTTAGTAAGTTATCCACGCCTTAGAGCAAGTATACGTCTGAGGTAAGCCCTAGACACATAATTTGAAGTTTATTGTGTAAGCAGATTTTTATGACAAATGCCAACTAACGAGGTTGTGAAGTACTGTACAAGCAATTCTGTCATTTGTGGAAACTTCGGTAGTGCCTTTGGGAGCTAAAGGTAATAGATAGTAGAGCACTTACTCATCTATTAATAGTTTTCATGAAAGATGGACTTCAAGAAAAACAATCACAGGAAACAACTCTAATGATTGAGTCTTGTGGGAAAGATAATTCATAAAATGCATAAAAATGAGCATCCCATCTGACAGTACTGGTACTCAAGGTCTGTTATCAGTGATGAAGGTAGAAATGGAAGATGCTTAAGGTGGCAGCTTGGATTTCTTGTGATAGAGGAGAAATCTCTGTTTTTAAGAGAAATCTACAGAGGAGCAGAAACTATTCTGTCATATTGTTGTGTTTGTTGTGTCCTTTTTTTTTTTTTCCCCAGAGTGTTCAATGAGATTATACTTGTATGTATCTGGAGATGGCAGAAGGGTAGTATTGACTACTCCTACAGCATGTGTCTTTTTGTGGGAGAGTACAGAATGTAAGAATACATCCTCTTATAAAGATTCTTCTTCTGGGCGTTGGGTGCAAATTTTGCCTGATGAATCAGTCATGTTGCCTTCTGCTGAAGAAAAAGAAGTTGGAATACATGCTGCTTTCATACAAAATGAGGTAAAAAAAAAAGCCCTAAATAATTATTTAATCTCATGAGTAAATTCAAACCACAGAAGCTACAGTGAATTTTGAGAGCAATGTCTGTCTCCATGGTGTTGGGGGGGGGCTTAATTGCTTAGTACATTTTAGATCTGATAACAACATAAGAACAGCCATAATGGTTCAGATCAAGGTTTATCTGGCCCGGTAACATTCTTACAGCCTTTACCTCTCTGAGTGATAATATTATGTTATTCAGTCTGGATTGTAATAGCTATCAATCTAAATTTATAAATAATTGAAAGAAAATGGTGTTTGACTAGGGTTTTGCCTTTGTTCTATTTTGGCTCTGTTCTTTTTCCCACAGATACTGGGTGATTGCTTTTTGTGCTCTTTTGTATTTTATTCTGAAGAATGTTTGATGCTCACGTTTTTGATTCTTCGATGGCATGAAAATAGCTTTAAATATGTTAGGTAAGTGTAAACATATTTGAAGTTACCTTAGCTTAAGATTAGGAAGATAGGTATTTTGAAGTGGTTTAGAGCTGGGATTCAGAGCTGCAATGGAACACATTTACACTGATGTCTGATTAGCCTGTGTTTGCAATCCTCTGTTTGTTTGCGCATGTATCTTCATGGCACGCCATGTTATACATGCCCATATGGACAATATTTGTGTATATATGATCAATATATGGACATACATAGTAATTTTCAAGCATTTAAGTGCAGTTAATGTACCAGCTTTTATGTATGCATTCCATGCTTCATTATTAACTTACATCTAAATAAAACTGAATGAATTTATTTGGGTGTCTGTGTGTGCATAAAGATGCCTGCACACACGTGTGTCAGTGTCAGGAAGTTTCTTGCGTCATCCCTTTGCTTGTTTTCCTTGCATTACAAATGCATACTGTGCAGCCCGTGAATACTTGAATGCCTCTTTCTCTTCTTATGCATATTTGTATATTTTATTTGTTTTCTGTTCCCCTTCTCATCATATGTTATGTGTATGTTTCTCTATCTGGGCTGAGACCGTGTATGGAAATAGCTACACTGATACAGCCTCTAATCCCGAGTACATCTATAGTCCTTTCCTCCTCCCAAGTGAGGCACCTGTGTGTGAGTTGGAATGGGTATGTCCCCTGCAGGTATCACTTGAATGACTTGCTACAGTTTTTCCATACACTTGATGTTGACAGCTCCCTTTGTTAAATGGTACCCTTTTGATACTTACTTAGTAATGATGTCCTCCGTGCCCTACTGTGTCATCATTCTTCACTTGGCTTGTCAGTAGGGTGGTAAAACTGACATAGAGTATCCTATTACCAGTATATACACTGTAGTACCTGCAGCCTGAAACTGTAACCACGTTTCTCAGCCATATTACTCATCATATCTTTATGCCAACTACCGCTCAGCTTCATTTCTTACTGTTGTTTAGTTCATTTTTTCATGTTAATACTTTGGTTTTTTGGCTGTTAGGTTGCATGCTTCCAAATGGAATCTTTCTTGTGTTTTCCATCGTGTTCTGGATCTTTTTAGGAACACAGAATGGTCTGGGTTGGAAGGGACCTTTAAGGTTCGTCTAGTCCGAATCCCCTGCTGCAGGCAGGGTCATTTTTCACTAGATCAGGTTGTTGGAAGCCTCATCCAGCCTGACCTGGAACGCTTCAAATGATGGGGCATCCACAAGTTCTTTGTCCAGGGGAATGTACTGTAGACTTTAATGTTCAGATTCTGTGTATTCCTGTGTTGGATGAATTTATACTGTCTGAGGAAGCTGTTGCTGGCCAGAATGCAAGTGCCTTGGCATGTATCTGTACTTATTTGCATGTTCTTTACATACAGTCCAAATTCCTGTCATATAAAAATGATTCTCAGTGTCAGACATCATTTCTAAGTTCATGTAAGTACAGAATATTTTTCATTTGTAAGGTTTTAAAAAAAAAAAAAATCTTTTAAATTATTCATGCCTTACGTGTTTCTGTCTTGCGTGGTTTTTACTATATATGAGTATTCCCCTTCAGTGTAACTGAGTAAGCTCTTGGGATTGTTGTCTTTTTTTTTGGTCTTCAGTTCTTTGCCATACCAGATCCACTGGGCACAGCAGAGCTGTTCTCTAGTTACTTTGGTTCCCCGGTGTGTGCCTGTAAAATCAAGAGGCTCTTTGCTGTGCGCGTTTGCGAGAGATGGACTTCGACTTGCAGTAGCTGTGAATCAAATTGATCCAAAGGTATGAATGATGGACAGGGCCTTGTTTAAGCTGATAGTTCATCTTGAATTAAGTGGTAACAAGGATTTAATAACACATTTTTAGGAGTGATTTTTCAGAGCTCTGATGGATACATGTGATACGCATAGTCATATCGATATCCACAGCTAAAAAATTCTGCCACAACTTGCAATTTTTTGAGTGCTGTTTTTCAGTTATGGGATACTTGTGAGCTCCTTTGTAATTTCTGATCTCCAAAAAAACACAATAATAAATTAGTTTCTGTTGTTGTATTGTATCTGTGAAGATTCTGGGTGATTCTCAATCAGGCCTGAGCCTAGGATGTATTGGAGGTTATGGTTCTACTTCAAAGTGTTAGTCCTTCCCACAGCTCAGAGGACAAATCTCAAAATAGGTTTTAGTGCCAGTGGTGACAGGGAATATGGAGCAGCCTGTTTAGTGTGTGAGGAGGGGCAGATGCGCTCCCTCAAAGCTCCAGCTCTTATTCATCAACAGTACTAAGGAAGAGTGATCTTATTTTGTTTTGAGGCTTTTAGAAGTTTTGTTAAAATGAATATCAAGCTATATAGAGACTATATAATAATCTTTAATTATTTTTCAAATGTAGAAATAGAGTATTTATTAATTTCCACACCTAAATAGTAATAAACATAGAAGTGCAATGTTACTATTTTGTACAATAATGTTTCCAGTGCATCAAATGTAATGCATAATTTCCTGATAGAAATTGGCTTTTAGAATGATGTCATACAATTATGTGTTCTTTACATTTCCTTCTTCATTTTAGGCAACTCAGATTTTGTTTTTAAACACCCTGAATTTTGTAACTGTTTCGGGTAGCCTTAAAGGTTGTAGTAGCAAGAGTAGCACAGTCCCATCCAAGTTTATCAGGTCAGTAATTGATGTTCTTTCTCCTGCCGCTGTGAATTTTTTGGGTTTTGTCTTGAATGGGTCAAGGGATGTGTTGGTTTTGGAGGGGTTTGTGTGTGTGTCTGTGTGTTTTGTTTTGGTTTTGTCAGTACCAAAAGGTTAGAATAGTTATTTCATGGAGACTTTTTTTTTTTCTTGCCCAATTTAGATCTTACTGGGTTGGCGATATGAGCTGGACTCCTGATAGCCTTTTTTTGGCTTGCATGTTAAAACGTGGATCTTTGATTTTATTGACGAGTATGGGTGAGCTGCTGACCCTGACAACTTCTGGCTGCTCTGTAGAATTTGGACCAGCAGAGTTTATTCCATTTCATCCACTAATAACATACAGGTAAAAAAGTTTGGATATGTTGTGATGAAGGTTGACATTGTGACAATGTAAGTAAACATTTAAGTGGTTTGGGGTTCTAAGTATTTGAATTTCATAGTAATAAAAAATAGCATACTTTTGTGTTGTAAGAAGAAATTAAACTTGGAAGCACTAGAAGTGCAGATTTATTTTAATTCAGTGGTTATTTCTCTGCTCACTATTTAATTGTACCTATACAACTTGATACGATGTTTCATATCAGATCTTGTTAATAACATATTTGCATAGAAAAAAACTAGATAGCTTTAAAATCCAGATCCAGATTTTGAAATTATTCTGCTGGGTGCATGGGGGAACAGAAGGATCTCTGATAACACCTTTTAACATAAATTGAAAGCTATGAAAATTAACACAGTCTAAATAACTAAAGGTAACAAAATCTAAACTTTTTTTTTTAAAGTCCTGTTTATTCTGAGTGAGTAAAGCTGGATAGTGTGTAAATGTAGCATCTCCTGGAAACATTCAAAGTGTTATAATTCCTTCTTACACTGTCTGGTTGAAAAATCAGATAGTAAAATATATTAAAATATCTTAATTATGGTTATTATTGAATGTATGGAGCTATTTTGTTTTCAAATATTTTACTAACTTTTGGACGAATAAGAAATTAAAAAAAAAACTCAAACAGTGGTTTTGCACATTATTTCAAAGTATTATGTTAATTAATATTAAATTATAATATTAAAAATGCAAAATATAAAATATACAATATAACTATACAATATTAAAGAGTATTAAACAATAATGTTCAATAATAATATAAACTAATGTTAGATTTTTTGGAACCCAGTAAGAAATTTTTTTATAAGAAAAGAAGTTAAGATCTGTTTTGTAAGAGAAGACTTGTGTGTTGATATACAATATTTCTGTTGAATGCCTGAACAGATTCAGAAATACTAAGATACAAATCTTGATGGAGTTTTGGGGTTTCATACATGGCTTTATTAAAAGTTACTTAGAATTTAATCTTCAAGCACTTGTCAAACACAGTAAAAGCTCATTAAGAAAGTGTGATAAAGAAATTTAAAGTCAACTTGTGAAAAATGCATATTAATGAAATAAGAGGATACTGAAAGCTGGTTTTGTTTTTCTTTAAAGTATAAAAATTGCAACTACAGCAATAGTAGCGTCTTTCAAGCATAAATAGTGTTGTCAAGAGTGTTCATCTTGCAAAAATTCCAACACATCCTTAAAATTCTGAATGGGACAGTAAGTGTGAGTGATACCAAATGCTGATAAGCAATTTCTTCTCTGTTCTGTTCCTTACTGTTACATGCGATAATTGCTTCTCTTTTTTTGTGTATCTTTACCTTAGAGGGCAGCACTCCTTCTGTCAGGGCTCTAGTCAGTCTCTGGGTTCTTCAGCTTCTGAAAGTGACCTTATGAGACAGAGATTCTCTGTGGCTTCACACTCACGGTTACCCTACCTCATTGTCTCTGATGGATACATGGTAACAGTGCTCAGATTTCATAACAACCTTTCACCGTCAGCATTTGTGAGATCCCTTTTGCTTGATTCAACCCAGCGGCTTGAAAATATCCGTGGGAATTTGTTGAACTCCAAGGTAGGGTTATGAATGACGTTGTAGGCTCTAGGTAAAAAGGCTTCTGTGTGTATAAAAAAATGTGTAATTTTTAAACAGGGTAAGTCAGTGTAACTTTCTGTGATATTTGTATAAATTCCTTTGAATTATAAAGTTGGTTGGAGTACAGTATTGATCTGGAAAACAAGGAATAGAGAGTTTTCTCTAAATTTTCAGCCGGCTATCAGAGGGAACTGTAGTAAAGGGGACAGGCTTAACTGTCACTGTAGATTGTCTGGAACTGTAGAAGAAATTGGAATTTCTATATCCATAGAGTTGGTTCAGAACATTGACAAGTATTACGCTCCTCTGACCAGCTCCTCCTTTCAGAATGCTGCAGACAGTAATCTGTAAAACCTTTTTATCTTAGGCTGCTGCTGGTTCAGAGCAGTCTGCAACAGTCCCAAAGGTGCTGTGAGCACATGTCCACTAGGTCCTCAACTGAGGCTGTCAATTAAGGCTTGCATAAAGCTCTTTTTTTTTTTGCTATTTTCCTGTCACTTCTAAATTGGCCTACCTCTGGGAGCAGGGAAACCTTTGAAGGAAGAGGTCATGCTACTATTTCCAACCGCATAAGATACTGTAAATATTAACTTCAGAAGTGTAGCACTTGCTGACGGAATACAACTTTTTTTTTCTTTTGATTTTCAGAAAAGCGAGTTATGATGTTATTCATGCATAAGCTAGAAGAGTGGGCAAGGATTTGGGTGTTGAAAGAGAACATTACTAGTGAAAGTGCAAGAAAGCCATTCATACTGGCAGGCTTACAGGATTATTTCAGGAATCAAGAAAACAGATTCTCTCAGTATGAAGGAAAGTTCAGTTCTCTGGTGCCGGGACAATTCCGTGTTCCTGAAGCGAGGTCAAATGACTGTTTCTATGCAGAATATGCCTCCCCAGCTGTTCTTCCTTTCTGCCTGGGGCTTTTGAACTGAAGGGACCCATTTCTGTGTTTTGTTTCAAAAGTACCTAGTTGGATCTTGATAGAGACAGATAATGTTCTGCTTTATTGTTTTTATTTTTAGCCTAAAGGCAGACCTCCATGTCTACGATCACTACTGTCTTTAAAAGCTAGTCTTTTAAAACGTGCTCAAAATGAAAGTTCCATCTTTCCTACCATTCCCAAATTCCTGGAAGAGTACACAACAGAAATGACTGAGGAAACCATGGATTTACTGGTACTTAACAGCATTTTTCCACTCATAATTATGCAAATTATTTAATTTTAAGCTATTCTAAATGTAAGGAATATTTTTTTAAAATCATATAGGTATTTTTACTATTACTAGGCATATTTGAAGTAATTCAATATTGGCTGAATTCTTATTTTCTTTATAGGTGCAAGGAATATGGTTATTTTTTTCAATTGATACTTGATCTTTATTTTCATTTCTGTCAGCAGTGCATTGACTTCTTGAAAAATACGTAGTGATGTGCACATATGTCAGTTTGTTGTCATTTATTACTTTAGTTTCACCTTATAACAAAATGTAACATTACAATGCTAGATATACTGAGGCTGCAAAGTATATTAATAAGAAGTACAATATTATTATCCTTAGTAAATAAGACATTTATCCTCAGTTTCACAGGACTTTTCCATCAATTCCAAAATTTGTATATATATCTTTTGGAAGAATGGCTCTGTAATCAAAGTTACAGTGCAGCCTTTCCCAACTCTATTTCATGCTTTTTGGGTTTTGATTTGGTTCTTTGACATTTTTGAGCTTTTATTGAATGGCTTTTATATCTCATAGGCATATGGCAAAAACTCTCCCTCATACTCTGGGCTTAATACAAGACAAAATTTCAGTTTCTGGTGTAAAAAATACTACCGTGTTTACAGTGTAATATTTTTTTGTTGTTAAGTAATTTAGTTTCTGTCTGCAGAAATATTACAAACAGCCACATTTAATTTGAGATTTAGGTGGAACTGCTGTGAATTAAGTTTATTACCAATTAAGCAAGTTAATAAAGCATAAAGTTTTCATATGTGAGACTGACTAAATGGTAATTCCATGTAGACTGTACTCTCTATCAGTAGACTTGAATTAAAGTGTTGATTTTCTTGTTGTTGTCTGATTTAGGATTATGAAGAAGAATCTGATGATGAAAAGCAATTTTGCAATAGCTCTTCTCGCTTCCATAGCCAAAGAATCCATTCATTTGTTGCTAAAGCTGATCAAGGCCATGTAGAATTTGCATCAATGTTTGATACTATCCATGCGAAAAGCCATACTGAAGAGAAGGATAAATTATCAGTGGATCTATATTCCATCCAGAAAAACCTTCTTGCTGCATGGCAGATAGGGACTTCAAAAAATATGGAAGAGAAAAATACATTGCTGAATTACACAGTGAACTGCATTATCCATTTCTTCAACATTCTTCAGTTTGTGAAATGTCCTTTGCTAAACCAGGATTCATCTTTAGACAAGCCTGTGAAGAATACCCACTGGATGCATTGTGTGCTAAAGTATTTTCAGCAATGTTTAACTGTCTTGTACTGGCATCCAAGAGCAAATCTGACTGGGCACGTGGCAAAGCTGACATTGCAAACTTTAAAACTGATGCTTATGCAGCAACAAGATCAGTTGTTCTCAGAAAGCCTTTTGGCATGCTTCTGTCTTTTGAAAATGGTTTCTCACACTCTAAGTAGCGTGTGCATACTACAGTATGAGCATTTTTTTGCATCTCCTCAAGCTCATAGTCTTGTGGAACTGGACTCCCTCACTGTGCCTGTTTTCCTACTTCTTGATGAAAGTACCATGCAGCAATTCAGCTCACTGAAATCTGTGCTTAGAGAGACTCCTCAAGCAGTAAACCATGGTGCAAAACCAGAAAAAAGGTATGAATGATCTTTGGCGGGGGGGAGTACAGAGGGCAATCAGGCCTGGTCAGCACTGGTTTTTGAAAGGCAGGTCCTGCTTCACTAACGTGATCTACTTCTGTGACAAGGTGACCTGCTTAGTGGATGAGGGAAGGGCTGTGGATGTTGTCTACATGGACTTTAGTAAAGATTTTGACATCATTTCCCATGGTGTTCTTCTGGAGAGACTGGCTGCTCATGACTCAGACAGGTGTATTCTTCACTGTGTGAAAAGCTGGCTGGATGGCTGCACCCAGAGTGTGGTGGTGAATGGGGTTGAGTCCAGTTGGTGGCTGTCACAATTGTTGTTCTCCAGGGCTTAGTGCTGGGGCTGCATGAGAGGATCAAGGCATCCTCGTTAAGTTTGCACATGATACCAAGTTGATCTGCTTGAGGGTGGGAAGGGTCTTCAGAGGGATCTGAGCAGGATGGATTGATGGGCTGAGGCCAGTGGTATGAGGTTCAACAGGGTCAAGTGCCAAGTCCTGCACTGGGGTCACAACAACCCCACACAGTACTACAGGCTTATGGAAGGGTGGCTGGAAAGCTGCCTGGCAGAAGAGGAGTGTTGGTCAACAGCCACCTGAACATGAGCCAACAGTGTGCCCAGGTGGCCAAGAAGGCCAACAGCATCTTGGCTTGTATCAGAAATAACATGGCCAGCAGGACCAGGGGAGTGATTGTGCCCCTTTATTCAACACTGGTGAGCTGCACCTCAAATACTGTGTTCAGTTTTGGTCTCCTCACTACAAGAAGAACATTGAGGTTCTGGAGCATGTCAAAAGAAGGGCAAGGAAGCCGGTGAACAGTCTAGAGATGCTGTCACACAACAGCCACCTGAGAAGGGTTTTGCAGTGAGGTGGGAGTCAGTCTCTTTGCCCAAGTAGCAAGTAATAGTAGAATAAGAGGAAACAGCCTGATGTTGCACCAGGAAAAATTTAAGTTGGATACTAGGAAAAATTTCTTCACAGAAAAGGTTGTAAAGCATGGAACAGGCTGCCCTGAGAAGTGGTAGAGTCAGAATCCCTGGGGATATGTAAAAGATGCGGAAACATGGTGCTTTGGGACGTCGTTTAGTGGTGGACTTGGCTGTGCTGGGTTAATGGTTGAATTTGATGGTCTTGAAGGCCCTTTACCAAACTAAACGATCCTATGTTTATTTGTGTTGGAACAAAAATTTTACTTCTCAATTACTTAGTAATTACAACACCCTTTTGATTTATTTTCTGTGTCATACTCTATGGAAAAGTGTGGTAATCTGTTAAAGCATGCGGATTAGGGCCCTGACCTCTAGTTGAGTATAGTTGATTGTGATGACTTAACTAATGACTGCCAACTAGTCCAGAGATAATTTATGGGTTAACAGCTCACTCCAGGTGTAGTAGCATAGCATCCATCCAGGTATTGCAACTTAAAGAAATTTAAGCTTTTAGTGCCTATTGCTCATTCCACTCCTTCCCGTGCAGAAGTTCCAAACTATGGAGCCAAAAGGCTGCTCATATGAAATATCTACAACGTCAGTGTCATCAGCTAAGTTTGCACTTCATTATGCATATGGTGTCCTGGAGCAATAAGATTAATAATGTTATACCTTTTGAATTACAGGTTGAGTGTACTGTGGCAATTATTGTATAAGAAAGTGGCTTGGTATCAGATGCAGCTGAACAGAAAAGTGATCAAGAATGCAGAAGAAGAGTCTGTTGTCTCATCACTTTTAGGTCATATACAAGCGACCCTCCAGTCTTCAGGAGTGACCTTAGAACAACATGGGAAGATTAATTCTGTACATGGTTAGTACTTTGGAAAGAAAAACAAATATTAGGTAATTGCACAGTTGTCCCGATTCGATGTCGGGGGAGGTT